AGAGAAAACCTTGAGGCTGGAATTGGCGGTTTGGATTCCATTCAATTGAACATGACCCTGAAATGAGCGTAAAGTAATATTACCACCCGTGATGGATCGATGTGGAATTTCGGGGTGATCGGGGCGTCCGTAGCGCGGAATTTACAGCATTTTGCTTCTAGTGGATTGGTCTGGTTGGCGTTACTCGCAGACGTATCTAGGAAAGGGTCATGTAGAGGGAAACTCAGATGAACTAAAACCGATTGGCTGTGTGTCTGTAATACAACAAAACCATGATTGCTGTAAAGCAAATGAGTTCATTCATTGAATAGTCAAACAATCACTCAAGAAAATGTACCACCAACTCATGAATTCCGGACCTGTTGGTATAGCTCTTACTCGTTATTGTTGTAATAAAAATTTCTGTCGTGTAACACTTAAATTGTTACCGACGGCTACCTTAGTATCAAAAGTCATGTAGGACATGTTTACCACGTACGTTACCTGCTTTTGGGTCTGCGTCAAAAATACTTCGGTTAAACCTCAGCTAAAAGCGACGTAAAAACTCCGGCAACGATGTAGGGTAAATTTGGTTGGAGTTTGTACTATTTCGAAAACATGTTCTCGAACATTATACCGCTGCCTACCGTTCTCTCATTTCACTTGTATAGAGAGTCGCCTTGTCTCCTGACAACGCCTATTCTCACCAGACGGTCAAGGAGATGAAGCGTCATACAGCAATAAGGGAAAATAAAACCGTCCTTGTAGTATTATGGTGTATTATCATATAATTAAGATAACGAATTGTGATCTCCTTAATGCTGTTCCAATCCAGTTTTACACGTTGCAACTAGTGACTTACGACGTGCTACACCTAATTTAAAAAAAAAAAACTCTCTAATACGTCGACTTAGAATATAAGATTCTAAATCCAAAATTGAAGCGGAATTGAAATGTTAATTATATTTTACTCAATAACGCTGAAAAGCTTTCTCTGGACGCGAAAGTGTGAGGTGTTTCCTGTGCGTGGTGGATGATGGAAGATTTTCGCTGAGTTAATTGCCTTTTACTAGATATGGTATAGTTGACTATAAAAACGATGAAGAACAGACGTCGACCGCTATCAATCTCCTCGTTCGTCTGAAAACGTAAAATCCTCGTCTTAGAAATTTCCAGAGCACACTTTGGTACTAGATGTCACTCTTAACTCTTGATCTTAATTTAGAGAAATTGAGAAAATAGCGTGGATGCTTAACTTCTGAAGCTTAGAATCGTCAGGGCATTTGTGAAAAGACAAATTGGAATTCGGGGAAACATCGTGGCAGTTACAGACGCAATAAGAGTGAAATACTCTATACACTTCGCAATTAGTTTGCTATATCCATAACTGTTGTTTTCTCATTTCAGGCCACGTGACCAAACAATGACGTGTGAAGCTAAATAGGTCTTGTACAGGCGTAACCGCCGCTGTTTTCGCGCTTAAACTCAAAGAGAAGATTTTTTCGAGAAAAATCTAAGTAGACCGCCTGTTCGTCAGATGAGGTGTGATTAGAAAGCAAGGTAAACACCGCTTTAAAATGAAATCATTATCTGTCAAATTCTCTTAAAGCATAACAAAATGCAGACCATC